GCGGTCTGTGACTATGCGCACTACGCCATTTAGACCCTCCCCTGCCGCCTCGTCCCCCAGCGCGTATCTGTCCTCGACCTGAACCATCGGGTTCACTCGCATGTCCTTTGCCGACTCACTCCCGAAGGTTGATTAGAGCATGTGGGTACTACCACACAGGGGCACTCCGACTTTTCCAGCTGGTCCTATAGACCTGACGAAATACGAACCGAACGACGGCATCCGCGAAATAAGTTTGGCAGCTTTGCCTTTGCCACTCACTGCAGCAGTGGGTGGCAATGCACACGCCCAGCATGAAAACATACTAGTAAATTGGAGAAGAACTCGCCCTCGCCCATCTTCATTAAAACCATCTAGCCAGATCTCAGAATGGGATGCGACACCTGGTCTACACAGATTGCAAGGCGAAGGCCCCCCCCACGAATTGGCTTCCTCGTTAGGCTGCGTGTCAAGTCTGCACGCCTAGAGACCGCGCGCACGCATGCACCACCAAGACTGATAAAAGCAGGGTGTGCAGGGAACGGAGCTGCGAGTGAAGGAGCAGCGCCCACTGCCGGCACGACCTGGGAGGGAGGATGAGACACACACACACACACGCAAACGCAACCACAGCCACTCACACGCAGACACAGACACAGACACGGACAAGGACACAGACACAGAGACGGACAAGGACACGGACACACACATACACGCACACCCAAACACACACATACACACAAACCCACACACCCACACACCTGCCCACCCACCCGCCTGCCAACCCAACCACAGACAGACAGACAGTCAGGCAGACAGGCAGACAGACTCACAGACACACAGACACACAGACATGCAGACACACACACACACACACACACGCTTTTTGGGCGTCGCTGCCACGCGCGCGCGGCGCGGCGTACCAAGGTCTCAGGTCAAGGGGGCCCGCGCGGGCCGGGCCAGCTCACGCAGCATAAAGAAACTGATTCACACATCCGGGATCGACAGTGACACTGGCGAGGGTGCATTTGCGAGGGGCCAGGGGAGGGGGGGAAATAGGAAAACAAACTCCATACACCGACGCTTTTTGTCTGGCCCACTTGCACATGAAGGCGGATCCTGGTGCATACGGGATCCTGGCGTACGCATTTGCTGCTGTTTTCCCTAACAAGCGGATGAAACTATCCTGACGAAGGAACCAACCATATGCATTTGTGAGTCCCGTCGTTGTGAGTATCACCTTCGGGGGATCTCCTTCTGGGGCCACTAAGCGTGTGAAGGGTGCGCCCAAATCGGGCGGGGCCGCCATGCGGGCGCTGCAACTGGGGCTTTAGGTAGAACCTCGTATGAGGCCATCAAACGTGTGGAGTTGGCTGAAATCGGGCGGGGCGGGGCGCTGTCACTGGGGCCTTAGGTCGAGCCCCCTATGCGGGCCCTGGCGCTGGGACCTGTGGTGAAGCTCCCTATAGGGCTACGAAGCGCTGTACCGGTTGGGGGGACGCATGCGGCCTGCGCCACAGGACCGATGGGGCCACGACTCGCTGTACTGGGTGGGGGGGACGCATGCGGGCTCGCGCCACTGGGACCTTCCGGGGCCACGAAACGATGTAGTGCGTGGGGGGCGACGCATGCGAGCTCCGCCTCTGGGACCTTCGGTGGAGCTCTATACGGGGCCGCGAAACGCTGTACTGGGTGGGAAGGACGCACGCGAGCTCCGCCACTGTGACAATCGGTGAAACTCCCTTCTGAGGCCACGAAACGCTGTAATGGGCGGGGGGTCGCCCGCGAGTTCCGCCACTTGGGCCTTCGGTGGAGTTCCCTGCGGGGCCACGGAACGCTGTCCTGGGGGGGGACACGCATGCGAGCTCGGCCACTGGGGCCCTTCGGTGGAGCACCCTATGGAGCCGCGATCTCTACCACTGGGACCTTCGGTGGAGCTCCCAATGGGGCCACGAATCGCTGTACGGGGCGGGGGGGCCGCATGCGAGTTCTGCCACTGGGACCTCCAGTGAAGCCCCTTGTGGGGCCACGAAACTCTGTATGGGGTGGGAAGGACGCGCGCGAACTCCGCCACTAGGACCCTCGGTAAACTCCCTGTGGGGCCACGGCACGCTGTATTGGGTGGAGGGGACGCATGCGGTTTCCGCCACTGGGACCTTCGGTGGAGCTCACTACGGGGCCACGAATCGTTGTACCGGGTGGGAAGGACGCGCGCGAACTCCGCCACTGGGACCCTCGGTAAACTCCCTGTGGGGCCACGGAACGCTGTACTGGGTGGAGGGGACGCATGCGCTTTCCGCCACTGGGACCTTCCGTGGAGCTTCCTATGGGGTGTGTCGAAAGAGACACATGCGGAGGGCAGAAGCAAGACGGGGGAGGAGGGAGAAGGAGGAAGGCGATGGGGGGCGCCGTCAGTTCAAAATAAAGACAAAACACCACAGGATGGTTGGCAACAAAGGTATACACCGCACTACCCCAACGTCGCCCACGATCCTGAGAAAGTCGGGGGATTGAAGGACAGCCCGCCACTGGTAATGTATATGTTTTCGTTTCCGAGGAAGGGGACAAAAAGGAGGAAGGAAGGGGAAACAGGGGCAGGCAGAAGCAGTTCGACAATCACGAGCCGAGGCATGAAGCGAGGCGCAGCAAGGGCAGCCGACCAGGATGGAGAGACAAGGCATCGTGAGACACTGGGAGGCACACGCTTTTGGCGGTCGCGGCCTCGCGCGCAGGGACGAGGCGAAGCAACACACACACACATACACATAAACACACACACACCCACACACACACACACACACGCACACACACACACACCTACACACCCACACACACACACACACGCACGCACGCACGCACTCACACCACACACACACACAAACACGCGCACGCACGCACGTACGCACGCACGTACGCACGCACGTACGCACGCACGCACGCATGCGCAAACACACACACAAACAAACAAACAAACAAACAAACAAACAAACAAACAAACAAACAAACACACACACGCACGCACGCACAAGCATACACACACACCAACACACAGACAGGCACCCCCCACCCACACACACAACAAAAAAAAACCTACACACCAACACACACACACACCACACACACACACCACACACACACACACTTTTTTGCGTCGGCGGCCAGGCAGAGGGTGACTGTTCCAGCGGAATGGCCACACACGCACACACACACACACACGCGCACTCGCCGACGCACGCACGCACACACGCACACACTCCCACACATACACACACACGCCCACCCACCCACCCGCACACGCACACACACAGGTACACACACACACGCACAGACTCACAGACCCACTCACGCACACACACAAACACACACACACACACCCACACACACACATTCACACACACACACACACACACGTGGCGACGCGTTTGCGGTGCAGGGTTCCACCCTGGAACCCAGCACAGATGGAGAGAGCAACGCCCTACCAGACGTCATGCCCTCTTCTAGAAGATTTCGCACGCATGGCTGACGATATTTTCCTGCCCTGACCAACGCTCTGACGTCCAGTCCCCGTGTTTTTGTTCGATTCCGCGCGTGAATTTTCCCCACGATGGTCCAGGGCTTCTCGATGGTCCTCGCCGAGAGACACTGCACACGCCCGAGCGATGCCAAAATGTTCCTCTCACACCGATGCCTTGCCCCGCTCGGGTCCCGCTGGGGACCCGCAAGCTGCCCACTCTCACCCGAGGAGCGCTAAGGCAGTCTCGTGCCGTGTCGACTTTGGCGTTGGTTCCTGACACCGCGGAGCCCCTCTGGGGTGACCCAAAAGGGGGTCCAGCTGAAAGGGGTAGTGCAACAGATTTGGGGCAATTGTATTGTAAATGTATTGCGCCGGAGAATCGTATTGCATCGTATTGCCAGTAATGCATGGCACGCGAAAATGCAGCAATACATTTGCGCCCCGGAATGCATTGCACGCCCCAGATGTATTGCAACCCGACAGATCTATGGCACCAGATCTATTGCACCACCCCCTCGTCGCTGGACCCCCTTCTTGGGTCAACCCGATCCTTCAGCCTGGAACGATCGGCCGCTTCCGCAACGTCAGATCGTTCCACGTCGACCGATTCTGGGTCGCAGGCGGCGTTCCACGTGGAGCGCCCGCGGCGGCGTCGCCGCCGGCCGACGCGACGCGAGCCCACCGCCCTGTCGCCACGGCTGCGGTGGCCTGGGCCTCCAGCAGCTCTGGTGGCGAGCCCCGGGTCCTTGGGCGCCTTCAGCCCGTCCTTGCCGCCCGTCGATGCCCGCTTGAGCAGGAGGTCGCGGGCTGGCCTGCGGCGCTCGTCCGGCTGCGTGTTGATCCGCTGCAGGTTGCACGACCGGGCCTGGGACGCCAGCTGCCCAGCCACAGCCAAACTCTGTGGCACAGTGATTGTGCAACCATGCGGTGAGGGCATTCAAACAAACAAATACTCTTCCAGCGCGCCCAGGGGGCGCGTGCGCATGCAGAGAAATCGCCACCTCGCTGCCAACACTCAGGCCATGTCGCAAAGGCGGGCTCCGCGAAACCCAGGGTCTGCAAATGGGCATCGCTGCCGCCCTCATCAGATAAGGACCCCCCCAGAGCCGGCAGCCGCCCGAGCAGACTCCTTAACAAACGCCCCCACCGTAGAGAACGCACAATGACCAACGAGAGGGCTTGTCGGGCAACGGCGGGCCCAGGCGACAGACAGGTTCCACGACATAGCTGTAGGTCGGGCACGTCCCCCTAGAGGAGATTTTGGACGACAAATCAATACTAGCCAGACAGACATGCTCAACAATGAACGAAAATGTAAAACAAATCGTCCCCATTTTTTGACTATTTTTGAATATTCCTCTACGGCACGGCCCGAAAACCCGAGCCCCCAAAGCGGTCCTCATCGTCAGCGCACTGCCTGCAGGGGCGCAGGGCCCTGGAAGGCCCCACGCGACTCGGGCATCTCCTGACCCGGGTCGATCCAGACCCGGGTCGATCCACTGGATCG